CTCCACCATCAAAGTCTAGGGATATCTTAGTAAACCTACTTATTGTCTTTTTAAAAATCCTTTAATGGTCATGCATTTTTCTATTCTCTTAAAAATGTATTTCTGGCTTTAGATCATGTGGATAAAGCCACTAATAGCAATAGCAGTTAATATTTATTGACTGTTTACTGAGCATCAGGCATCATTGGACTCTCACAATGCTGTGTGGCAGGTGCAATGATGTGATCCTACATATGTGGAAACCAAGAGTGCAAATAAAGTTCCTAAAGTCACATGCTCTAGGGTGTGCAAACTGAGCTTAGACTAAGAAATCTAATCCCAGAATCACACACTCATTGAAGGATGTAGAAAATAGGCCCCAGGACATTTCCCCTATCTAGGGCTGCTCCCCCACCTACCTTGTCGGTGGTAAATTGGAACTTTTCTCATTTAAAGGCCCAGACCTCAGCCCTAGGGAAGGCAGGAAGGGAAAATGGGAGAACACAAAAAACTTGCGCTTGACTGGCACCTGACTCCCCACCCTCATGGATCAGCTGACCCCAATAAAATAAACCCAGGAACTTCCCTACTTACCCTTCTGTCCCACCCTAATGAATCAACTGACCCTAATAAACCTCAGGAACTACCTTCCTGTCACACAGTAAAGGAAGTTCTTAAAACTCAGACTCACGTTTAGGACCAAAGTCGTTTTCCGCCCTGAAGATGAGCCTCTCTGTTGTTTGATTGACTGTTCTGCTGAATAAAGAAGTGCCTGTTGATCTCAGGACTTCCTGCCTCTGTTCCTTCTACTTACATTTTCAGATCCCTAACCAAGAACACACTTAAAGCTCCTTTGTGCTTACACTTGCACCTTACATTAGAAGTTCTCAGTAAGGAGCACTTTTGTCCCCTGGGGAACATTTGGTAATGTCTGGAGATATTTTTTTTTTTTATTGGGATAGTGGGTGAGAGTATTGCATGCATCTAATGAGAAGAGGATAGGTTATCAGAAACATTCTACAATGCACAGGACAGCTTTGCAAAGCCAAGAATTGTCTGACCCAAAAGCGGCACCAATGAGAAACTGCACTCCTCTATCCCATCTCTCAAATACAGAAGAGGTTATTAGATATGGAAAAATGAAAAACCCCAAAAATAGTCCTGGATAAAGAGGAGTAAGAGAGAAAGGCAAACACTGAGGGCACTGATCCTTTCTCAATTCATTCTTCCTCAGTGATTAAAAAAAACCCTGGGGAGAAGGTGTCCATCAAACCTAGAAAAGTAGTCCCTGTGAAGAGGACAAAGCATTTATGCTTCCATAAACAAATCCTTTTCCAGCTACAAACCACTGACCCTAGGCCCTCCACCTGGCATAGTAAGATAAATCCCAGAGACTTACCACTGATCCCAGACTCCCTCCCATTTCACCCAGTAAAACAGACCCCAAATTCCTGAGTGTTCAAGCTAACATGCTCATTAAATAAGTCACCTCTCAGTAGAACCTATATAAGCCCAGTCCCCTTCGTTGTTTAGTGGCTCATTTTCCACCAGCAGAGTGGGTCCATTGGAGGTGGAATTCCATTTCTGAATAAAGGCAATGCTGATCTGTGGAGTTTGCATCCAGCCCAGTTCTTTTTGTGCTAACACTTAGTAGACATCTTTACTGGCTGGGTTGAAGCCTTTCCAACTAACAATAAGAGGGCTTCTACCATTGCAACCGTACTTTCCTGAGAAATAATTTCATGCTTTGGTTTACCTGCCTTTCTTCCAGTCCAATATTGACCCCAAGTTTACTTACTCTATTACCCAAGAACTGACTAGCTTTTAAATATAAAATGGAACTTCTGATGTGTGAGGGGTAAAAATTTGCTTTCAGGATGTAGGCTCTCTGTTCACTTCACAAATTGTTTCTTTTGCTGAGAAGAAACTTTTTAGTTTGATTCCATCCCATTTATTGATTCTTGGTTTTAATTTTTGCGCTATAGGAGTCTTATTAAGGAAGTTGGGGCCTAATTCCACATGATGAAAATTAGGGCCTAGACTAATCTCTAGAGTATATAAAGAACTCAAAAAGCTAAGCACCAAAATAACAAATAACCCAATCAACAAATGGGCCAAAGACCTGAACAGACACTTCTCAGAAGAGGATATACAATCAATCAACAAATATATGAAAAAATGTTCATCATCTCTAGCAATTAGAGAAATACAAATTAAAACTACCCTAAGATATCATCTCACTCCAGTGAGAATGGCAGCTTTTATGAAGACAAACAACAATAAGCGTTGGCAAGGATGTAGGGGAAAAGGTGCACTCATACATTGCTGGTGGGACTGCAAATTGGTGCAACCAATATGGAAAGCAGTATGGAGAGTCCTTAGAAATCTGGGAACGGAACCTCCATTTGACCCAGCTATCCCTCTCCTCCGACTATACTGAAAAGAACATACTACAGGGACACAGCCACATTAATGTTTATAGCAGCACAATTCACAATAGCTAAACTGTGGAGCCAACCCAGATGCACTTCAGTGGGTGAATGGATAAAAAAAATGTGGCATGTATAACAATAGAATTTTACTCAGCAATAAAAGAGAACTAAATCATGGCATTTGCAGGTGAATGGATGGTGTTGGAGAAAATAAGGCTAAGTTAGCCAATCCCAAAAAAACAAATGCCAAATGTTTTCTCTGATATAAGGAGGCTGTCTCATAGTGGGGTAGGGAGAGGGAGCATGGAAGGAATAGATGAATTCTAGATAGGGCAGAGGGGTGGGAGGGAAAGGGAGGGGGCAGGGGATTAGCAAGGACGGTGGAATGTGATAGACATCATTATCCAAAGTGCATATATGAAGACAGGAATTGGTGTCAACATACTTTATATACAACCAGAGATGTGAAAAATTATGCTGTATACATGTAATAAGAATTGTAATGCATTCTGCTCTCAGTTATTTTTTTAAAGAAAAATCAATAAAAAATAAAATAAAATGGAACTTCCACATTCTCTATCATCTACAGTCCTCAGTAAAGGTTGAAAGAACAAATAGGACCTTAGTGGCAACTTTAATCAATATCTGCAGACACTCACTTGGATTGGTTAAGCTCCTCCCTTTGGTCCTTCTCAGGATCTGAACACTGCCCCCAAATCCTCTTATGATCAGCCCATTTGAACTTCTTTATGGGAGACCCCTTGTTCCCCATACTGTTCAACCTCAATCACCTATCATTTCTCCGGATGTCCTAACACGGCTCCTAGCTCACTTGGTGGCTGCCCTCTGGATGCCAACATTCATCTTCCTCAGCCCCAATCTTCAGGGACCCCGCCTCCAATTCCCATAGGAGATTTAGTTTACTTCTACCCTTTCCAACCAGTAGTTCCTTTAAAAGAAAAATGGAAGGGCCCTTTTAAGGTGATTTTTGACCACCCCCACCACAGCCAAACTAGAAGGATACCCCACCCAGATCCATTTAAGCAATTTAAAATTTGTTCCTGCTAATTGCCTTTTATCCTTCTCTTCTCACAGGCCTTACCCAACTATGCATTACCCACCTCCCAGCCCAGAATTCTTAATGCCACTTTCTCAGACATTCTTCTACCTTTTCTTAACATCACTCGGAGACAAATTAATCATATTTACTCCCCATTCATCTTTCAAACATTAGACCTCATTTGGGATCTATGGCTTCTCTATGGCCTCTCTTCAAACATTAGATCTCATTTAGGATCTATGGCTTCAAGGGGCATTCATTGACCTGACCCCCACCTAAATTTCTTTCTTCTGTTTGTATTTTCCACATAGCTTTTTTAACTTCACAAACAGCCACGCTGGACTGGAAACTGCTGAGACCAAAAGTGGCTGATGTATTCAGTGAGAATCCCATCTCTGTAGCAAAAATGTTAATGCCTTGAGCTGGAAGGCACACTCCGTGCCCTGGGGAAGGTTAAGAAAACAACAGAGATAACTGGGGGGAAATTGAGAAAAAGGGTCAATTCGTTATTCCTCTCAACAGGTTCTTCTTGCTGTATTTCATAATATGCACAACTGCAAGCCTGGGTAGAGACACAGAGACTTATTGGGCCCCTATTCCACAGCCTGCCATTGCTCACCCAGTAACATGGATTGATCTTCCCCCTTCAATCTACCTTAATTTCACAGACTCTTTGCCTGGTCCTTTGTTGACTACCAGGTCTTTCCAATAACTTTTATTCAATTATTTGGGATTATCCTCCTGAACCCCACTTTGCATTTCTCTCAATAACTCATATTATTACCACATTGGGCCTTGAACTTGGCTTACATATGTCCCTAAAAAACAGGATCAAGAGGCCAGGCTTATATTCCTCTTGGGCAGAGGCTCACCTGCATGGCAGGAAGTTAATGCTAATTCCTCATTAAGCAGATCCATATGTTCTTACCAAAGATACTAGGATCTTTAAAAAAAAAAATTGTTACAATGGTCTGAATGTGTAACACCTCATCCTCAGAATTGTTCTGTTGCAGGAAAACATGTTATAGATTGGGGTTCTCCTGGGAAACTGATTGATGCTGAATCTAGAGCTTTGGGATAAAAATTATTTTATAGGGACAATTTATATTTTGTTTATAGATCTGTTTTATATTCCAACTCCAGTAGGTACTGGTCTAAGGGAAAATTATCACCTCCTGCCATGAAAATGGATTTTGGGTGAATTTAGAACACTATATGGAAAATAGGTCTGACTCAGAGGAGACTTTTCGGATTTGGAATGGTGATTCTCAATGTAATAAGTTGAAAAATGTTAACATGTCCTTTAATAAGGAATTCTACCCCATACCACATGTATTTAATCCCTATGTTTTATTGTCTGGACCCATTCAAATGCAATATAATATATATTATATATTATGTTAAATGTGAAAATTGTATGCTACAACAATGTGTCAATTAACTATAAGGCAAAGTTCTGATGTGTTACAAACTGTTATGAATCTCAAAAGTCCAGTAGCCACCTGGCTCCCTATGAAATTAAAAGAACCATGGCAGGAGACCCTTCAGTAGCATTCATGCAGGAACTACTACCACAGCACCTGAAACATCATGCTGAACAACTGATCTGGTGGCTGAGAGCTGGTACCATTGTTTTGGCTGGCATCTTCACCTCTGCCTCCACTACAGCAGTGGCATTGCATCAGCAGGTCCAAATATTCATTACCTTCAACAATTCCATAAGAATTTTACTGAGACCTGACAAATGCAAGCACATATTGACCGGGACATTTTGAGTGAAATTCAACAACTAAAAAATTCTATTATTTGGGTATGAGAACAAGTACAAGATTTACCATGGGCTCAGAGACTTCAGTGTCATTATTATACAATTTTGGTTTCCTAGAGCTCCTTATAATGACACTGATAAGAAATGGCAAAATGTACGTAATCACCTAATGGGACCTGATCCTTTGCATGATGCTTTTTTGGATGTGTTAAAATTAGTCTCAGGTTCTGGACATGGCTGATGCAAAAAAACACCTACTTTTCATAATGAAAAAATTCGGAACAGTTTAGCTGAAGGGATTTCTTCCCTTAACCCTTTTAAATACTTTTCTACACATATAGCTGGGATACCACCTACACTTAAATTGTTAATTTGATATCTGTTCGTGTTCTGCACAGTCTGTCAAGCAGGATGGAAATTATTAAACCATCAGGAAAATATGGTTATAAAGTTATTCATGCTTACAATTCTCCAAAGGACACAAACTCCTGAAATCATGAAAAGTGTGCCTGCCCTGAGTTTGAATGGAATATGATGCTCTTGATTAAGGAAAACAGGGTTCCCAACTATATTACCTGCTAAAATTGTTTTCCTAGAAAATCAGTTAATCTTCACCTTTCTTATAATCATCTTTCTTCTTAATTTTTTACAGAAACAATTTCTTAATGAAGTGACCTGCCTGGCTCAAGCCACCTCCAGAACACAGTCTAACTTTCTGAAACCACAAAAGAAGGACTTTGCCTAAGAACCATGGCTCTTCCCAAACATAGCCCTCTTAAGCCTCAGCTGCAAAGGTCCTCATGTTCTCTTCCAGAACTCTGAAAGGAGGGGTCCCCCTATTTCATCCTTTATCAGCAGAAAGCAACTAGATCTTAAATTAGCACCCCAATTCATCATCCCCTTTCAGTCTAGAATGTCAGATATGGAAATGAAAACCCCCAAAACTGTGGCCTGGGAAGAGGGAGGGGGAAAGAAGGAAAGATATTGATAACACTAATTTTTACTCAATACATCCTTTCCCAGTGACAAGACAATCCCTGGGAAGGAAGCAAACATCACCCAATAACAAGACAATCCCTGGAAAAGGGCAAGCATTGATCCTTTCCCAATATATCCTTTATCAGTGACAGTACAATGCACCCTCCATTCTTGCCCTGTAAAAACACTGCCCAGTAGAAACAAATTTCTAATTTTTGCAATCTTTTTGCTGAATGCTCATATCTTCTTAAGTCTTCAATGGCTAAGTCACCTCCCAGTCTGTAACATATGTAAACCCACACCCCTCTATTAATCAGTGGCCAAATTCTAACCAGAAAGTGTGCCCACCTGATACTTGACTCCACTCCACTGTTGAATAAAGGCTTTGCTGAATTCATGAGTTCTACATTCATCTCTGTCATTTTGTGCTTATATCCTTAACCTGTAGTAGCTATAGATTCTCTTGATTCTTATGAGAACATAGGGAATGATCTGGTTTGCTGACACTTAGTATATGTTGTTAGTCTCATTAAATACTGGTATAATAGAAGTAAGCTATCTGAGATATGAAACTAAGCTAACAAGGAAAAAAAACTTGAAAAAGTTTACATAGTCCAAGCCACATCTATGCATTGCCATACTTTCCACAATTCCTTCTTAGCAAAGCATTTTCCCACAAAACCACCCAAAATATCCTATTTCATAATAAGCACTGAAAGAGATGGGAAAAATATAAAAATATTAATATAAATAAAGATATAAATGAATAAATTTATATATAAAAATATAAATAAAGAGAAATATAAATGCAATATTTATCTTTATATATGAGCTTTCTATACAAGCTATTTTTCCTATATATGAGCTTGAACTATGGGCTCTTGAAATTTTGTATGATACACTATCTATTCACTGTCTCTACAAAAGATCCCAGATAGATTTATCCAGACATCCTTAAAAGCTCACCAGTGAGCTGGGGTTATACCTCAGTGGTAAAGCACTTGCTTAGCATGTGTGAGGCACAGAGTTCAATTCTCAGCACTGTATCAAAATGAATAAATAAAATAAAGGTTCATTGAAAACTAATAAATTTTTTAAAAAAACATTTACCAACAAGTAAAATTGATAAGACAATAGATTTACTCCCCCCATTCCAACTCAGTCCATATATATATATATATTACAAATCAGTTCTTTATCACAGTATAAGAGAAGTTAGTGAAATAAACACTCTCTAGGGAATCAAAAGTGAAAACAATCTAGATCAGGTTGGGCTGAACACACCTGTTCCTTGAGTGGACAACATACAACAATGATTTTCCACATGCTTTTCTTTAATTTTCTTCACAAATCCATCAGGTTAAGTTAATTCATGATACTTCAACATAAACAATCATCAATAGAAAAACATGAAATATTACTTACAATGTTGAATTCCTTTAAAATACGACAAAAAAAGTGAGTGAAAATCCAGAGCCTTAAAGAGCCATCCATAGACTAAGAACACACTAATGAGTGGCAAAAATGAAACAATAGGATATAAAATAAGAAAACTATATTTAAGATTTTTAAATTCATTATATGAAATTCATGACAGTTTCTGGACTTTTTCTAGCTAGATACATTTTAAAAATATGTATGTATTGATCCGGGTGTATTGGCACATGCCTGTAATCCCAGTGACTCAAGTGGCTGAGGCTGGAGGATCACAAGTACAAGACCAGCATCAGCAATTTAGAAAAACCCTCAGCAACTTA